TCCTTGGGAAACGAAATTCGTTACCGTTTCGCAGTCACCTCCATTTCCGTGTGGCAATCTCTTTTTTCAATTTTTCTTCCCTATATTTTTTTCTCCTCTTTCCTTTTTCCTCATTCCATCGTCGACATTACATTTCCAATCCTGCCTCGACCATTTTTCGTATCGGATATTTTTCTCCCGTGTACCTGCCTTCCCCCCACTCCTTCATCGCTGCAGTGTGCGATGATAATAGGGTTGGGACCACGATCCTGTCAATTGCAGTACTCGAGCAGAGACACGATTTCTCTTTCTCTCCGTCTTCTTTCTCTTTTTCTTTCTCTCTCCCTCGTTCATTTTTTCTTCCTCACCCGATGGCAACTCGAATTCTAATATCATCAACGACGTTCATCGAAACGTTTCCTCGCCTACTAGATGCACTCCTCAGACGTGGATTCGGGAGACTCGAGGATGGTGCGTGTGAGAGAAGCGCGTAGAGACTTGTGTTTCTCCTTGCTCGGTCGAACGGCGATGATTGCAGATTGGAGAGGCGCGTTTTAGAGGTTAGGTCCAGCGGTTCGAAGGATTCGCGGTGTCCACGTGTAATTTCCGACGAATATACATATTAATTGCGATCTGTAAACAGCATACACATGTATATGTACAAACGTATATATATATAAATATTATATATATATGGGAGGAGTTTAGAGAGAGAATAACATTCACACACACACGTGCAAGGATTATGTGCTAGCCTAGTGCCTAATATACTACGTAATATATATATACATTCGTATTTATAACAAGGGCGAACGTTACCGTTTCCCCTGCGGAAAACACTTATTGTAAATATGAGTATGGAAATATATATATATGTGAGTGTTTAAGGAATACCATACCAAATGAATCCGCCAGCAGGGAAGCCACCATCAAATTGTTTCCGCTCCCATGTGTGTCTCGCGTTGGATATCCTCGAATGGATCCGTGATCGAAGATGGTCCTCTTAGTGGTCCTGGAATTAAAGAAGACGCGTTATTAGAGGATCGAGAGAAGAATTCACGAATATATCGTTACCTCCCAACGGGACTTGACCCCTTGATGCGAACGATCGTGTGCAGCCATTTTGCTTCGAGAAACGATCGGTCTTTTCCTTCACGAAATTAGAGATCCCGGGACGATTGCACGACGAGCGTTTTTGCATTTCACGCGAAAGGAGCATCGCAAATGTTACGTTCTTGTTCTTGCCAGTGTAAGAAATTACGGAACATTGTATTACGAAATTAGATTCCCGGGGTGATTACGATGAAATTTTTGTTCCGCGTTCCATGTAAAGAGGATTACAAATGAACGTTCTTGTCGCAGCGAGAGTAAGAAAACGATAACGAGAATAATCGTAACGAAGCAATGTACTCGAAGGGGATAAAACCGTCTGATTGTTGTAGTTATTAAGCCGCCTGGTGGGACCGGAAGCGCGCTCCTTTAACGAGCCAGGAGCTGTACAAATGCGTCGCCCCGTGAGCCCCCTGTGCACAATTTTAATGACTAATTGGGATTTAGACGTCGAACACGGAGACTGTATTCTGTTCCAACTGTCGCATAATTTCTTTCACTAAGACCAAGTTTCTATTCGAATAAACCAGGATTTTAATTAGGAGCCTCCAGTCACGTTGATTCGAAGCTTCTCGCTGGTCGTTGCACGATCGGCTATCCAGGGCAGCGATTTTCAATCCCCTGATGAATCTTCAACTCTTCACAACCCTGTAACGACAAAAATTAGTTCCATTTCGATTCTACCATATTTTTAACACGTTAAGTGCCCAGTTCGTTTTGCTTGCCGTGTTCCGTTCAGGCTCACATTCGGTCGTCAAGTGGGCCACCAGCGACGAGCAAAGTGTTCATAAAACTCGATACTGAGATACTGTACCAATTGTTACAACAGGAATTCCCAAACGTTAGGTCCAAAGATGACGAACAATCAAACACCAAGTGTTAACTCTTTGCACTCGTATGTCGCGTTGGAAGTGACACTACAAATTTACTCTAAAACTCGCATATCAATTTATAATAATAAAAATAAACGAAATAAATACAACACGTTGAATTGTACCACTGTGAATTACTTTAATTCGTCTAGCTAAAAATAAATACAAGTTCATACGCAACAAGTTTGAAGATAAATCGAGTGCAAAGGGTTAAAGGTGCCTAGCTTTTGGTCCTAGTCTGAGCCGGGCCCGAACGGAAAGTCTAGTAGGAATCCCTGACATGGCACTTAACGTGTTCTATGAAAGAAAGGTGGCAAGGATAATTATTTAAAGAGATTTACCTCGAGCTCGGATCGGCCTGTTTGCAATCTCTCCCTGTCACAGGGTGCCTTCGAGGTAACTTCAGTGGATGCTCGAGGGTGAGAAAGGTTGAAAATCGCTGATCCACGGGATAACGACGAGTGTCTGTGCTCGGTGGCTAGTTGTCAAGAGAATTCCGATCCGCGCGAGCACGTAGGAACAGAAATGGCAAAGAAGAGGCACAGCCGACTGGGTCCGTTCGAGGAACCGATCGATCGGCCGGAAGCGTTCATACGAACAGAGCCTATTCATTCATCGGTGTCCGTCAGAAAATGGTGGGCAGCATCAAACGGGCAGTCTAAGACGATGCACCGTAAATTGAATCATCCACTCGGTTGATCAGACCACCGCGGACGACGCCATAAGCATTAAGGGGTTAAGGTCCAGCAGAGAAAAGGGTACTCGAGCGAACTGGCAGAGCAATTTGAGATGGTTTCTTTCCCGGCCGTCTCGTTCATTTTCCGCTCACCTGTTTTTACGAAAAACGAGTCAGAAGGGAGAAGAAAAAATCTATAGAAAAAAATAAAAGTGAGAGAGCGAGAGAGAGAGAGAGAAAGAGAGAGAGAAAGAGAGAGAGAGAGAGAGAGAGAAATGAAAGAGAGAGACGGGATGCGACATGCGCCGAAAGAAACGGTAAATATGCTGAAGCACATCAGAAGAGTTGAACGACGGGCGTAATGTGTATCATACATCTGCTAAGTATACATATATATCGTAGTAGTCCCTCTCTGTTGACTTTTTGAAGCCAAAAAAGCGAGCGTGAGAGAGAGAGAGCGCGCGCGCGAGTAAGAGGCACTCAGTGGAAAAAAAAGGCTTTCTGTGTGTGGAGGTAGCACATTTAGATTAGTGACGCGTAGAGACTAACATCGGGAGAGAAAGGTAGCGAATGAGCTTTCTTCCCCCTTCCTTGAGCTTTCTCAGCACCCATATCTCTGCGTCCGGCAGAAGGGACCAACAGCACCCTTTTGTCGCTCTTC